CATAGTTATGCATGATGGGAATTTCAAAGTCATTGGCATCTCTTGAGAGTCGTCAAATTGTGTCATCACACTTCGAAGGCAAAAGGGCAAGAGAGGTCAAAGGTGAAGGTTCTCCTTTGTTTTATTGCAAATCCACCCTACTTGGAAGTAAGCAACTAACTCTGTTAAGAGCAAGTAAATGAAGTCATTCCTGAGGGCAGAGCTCCCAAGATCAAATCAGCCTTCTTTGTCCCTTTCCAGGTCTCAGCACGCAGGTGCTGGGGATACAGTTTCCAACACAAGAACTTGCAGAAGCACTCAGACCTTAGAAAATCTCTTTATTCCTTCTTGCCGAGGAAGAAAGTCTCCTTAGAAGTTGAATCTAACACTGCAGGGAAGCTGCTACCATTTTGGCTTAAAGTCACTCGGTAAACGCACAGATAACCCATGGGAAACACAAGAGATCTGCTATAAAGATGAATCAGCAAGCGAATGACCTGAGATTCAGCCACAATAGTTCTGTTTGTTACTACAACTCACGGGGCAAATGTTATCTTTGTTTTACACAAGACAATGCTGAGACCCTTTGCAATTAAACAACTTAGTCGAGATAGTTATTGCAGGGAAAAGGAGCCAGCCAAAGAAACACACCCTGAGCAGAGCCAAAGAAACCCACTTTGGCCGTGCAACCAGAACCAAAGAAATGCCCCCTGACCCTGAAACCATTGCCAAAGTGTTGCAGGATCTGCCTAGGTCCCATTGCTGCTTTAGCCCCCAAATAACACACAGGTCACTATATTAATTATAAAGCTGTTGGCTGTTTGCTTGGTTTCTTGCTGGCTAGCTCTGACTTAAGTATTTAACCCATAATTGTTAATCTAAGTATTTCTCTTACCAGAGAAAAGGGTCCGGACCTCTTACTCTGGCAGTCTACATGGTGTCTGTCTCTGCCTCTCTTTCCCAGAATCCTCCTTGACTCCTAGTCCCACCTATCTTACTTCCCTACTGGCCAACAGTGCTTTACTCAAAAACCAATAAGAGACAGATTTATAGAATAACATCTCCCATCACCAAAGAAACACACTTTGTCCCTGGAATCAGCGTCAGTGAAAGCAATATACCCTGGCCCTAAAATGAGAGCCAAAAGGCTAAAAAGGACCAGAGAAAGAAACACACTTTGGCCCTGAAACTGGAGCCAAATCCTGTACAGAGAACTAGCCAGTCCCTGAGCAGTAGATTGAAATCTGACCAATCCCCACCCTGGAAACAATTCTCCTGCCCCCAAGAATCCCTATATAAACCCTGCGTCTGTTCAGTTTGGGCTGTTTTCCTGGATTCTTCCCTCCCAATAAACCCCTTTGATGAGCTTCGGGTGAAGACCTTCTTTTGCGGTGGAGCAGAGATGACCCTAGGCAGAGAAGAGTGAGCAGGGCTGTAACACTTTGCCAGGGAAACCTTCCCCTGGCAGAGCAGAGTTTTTGAACTCCAGACTCAGCTCTCCAGTCTTCCTGGAGTGGAGCTGAACTGTAACAACTTCATTGCCAAGAGTCCTTCTCCTGCCAGAGCAGAACTGATACATTGGGGAAACCTTTTCCTGAAGCAGGGCTGTAAGCTGCTATACTTACTGCGGCTTGTGGTAGTCCTTGGCTCCCGAGTGCCAGGATACGTTTCCATTCAAGCTCTAACTAACTAAAAGATATTGTCTATTAACTTGGAACATAGTTTTTAATTCTTCTTTAGAACTTCTAAACCCTCAAGTTGCTGGTGTCCATCATGGATCAAAAAAAGCAATTCGAACACAGACCATCACAGAACTGCTAACCTATGAAAATGCTGACAATAGTTTAAGTAATGAGGGGGAGGCAGTGACTCAGCTGTGTGGTTCCTGAGCATTTATTTGTAGATGATGACAATTTTAAAAGGTTGGACACACCTGACTATTATTTCTTGTAGTAAGCTGACGATCTGGCGTGTAAGAAAATTCAAAGTGACACGTAGGGCCCCGAGTTTCATTCACTAAAACATAAACCGGACACCAAATGTGACTGCAGAAAGCAATGTAGGTATGACATTGTTTCATTTCCTTTTGTATTAAACAAATACTTTTTTCTTGGGCAGATTTTAGAGGGATGTTTAAAGTAGGTTGTATTTCCTTCAGGGTCATCTGAAGAGTATGGGAGTTTTGGTTTCTGCCATCAGTTTGGATCCTGTGCTCTGGCCAGGAATCACTCAGTTCAGAACCCCAGCCTGACTATTTCAGTGGGATTCCCTCACTAAATTCTGTTGGATATAGCAATATAGGTTTGTATGTGTGTGTGTGTGTGTTCACACATGCTGTGGCACCCATCAAACTTGTCAGGCAACAAGTAACCTTTGCCACTGAGACATCTCATGATGTACCTAGAGAATTCCAATCGATTTATAAGTGTGTGGAATAAAACATATCTACTCACCCCAGATCAGAAAAGCATGACAGACCAAAGTGTAAATACCACCAGAAACCAACTTGGTGAACTCACCATTAGTTTCATTGGGGTTACTTACAGGATATGGGCGAGGGGTAACTTACAGCAGCAGAAATGATTCAAAGATAGACATGTCACCAAAGAGCACACAAGCATGGATGACAGCTGGGAAACTGGATCACACTGCACAGCCTGCAGGCATCTCAACAGGTTGGAGAGTTTCCTTCTGATGGTCCAGTTGATCTAAACCTCCTTCAGGCAACTCTGCTGACTTCTGCTTCTTCCTGACAGCTGGTCTGACCTGAGAGTCTTCTTTGCTCTTGGCTCTGTTCAGTTTGAGAAAAACTCCCACTTTTTATTGCTTTCTCTGGCACAGAGGGGCTAGTGTACCCTGGCCAGCAGGGCACAACGGGGGCTGAACCCACAGGAATCTGGAATGAAAGGGGCAAGAGATACTAGAAACAGACAGCAAGACAGGCTTTCTGATCAAACTGTAAAATTTCATTTTCTCTCAAGGATTCTTATAGTGGTTAAAGCAGGACGCTTGGCAGAGGGTGGGGGGTTAGGTGGGAGGAGCTATTGCTTTGAAGCAGAAAGCTTAGCCTTGGTAGGATATGTTCCAAGGACAAAAGTCTGCAGCTAGGGGAGTCTGGACTGCAGGCCAGGAGGCAGAATGGTGGGAGAGACTGTGACTGCAGGCCTTGAAAATATGCTGTACAGGAGGATAAGCAGGCAGAGAGGCATAGAAACTTAACTAAGTGTTAGTCTCTAAGAATATAGTAGGAATATTAAGATGGTTTATTATGCTATTCTTATTTAGGGCCCTCCACAGCTGGCAATATTTACAAGAGGTCCTATATACCAATGGTGACTCCCAGTACTAGTGAATCTGGCTGATTTCAGGGACTTCCTGTTTTGCCTTGTTCATCTTCCAGATTAGGGGGTTTCTCTGCAGGACACAATGTTTCAGTCTCAGAGGAAGCTGTTAAGCAACAATAATGACAAGAGGAAGGAATGCCTTGTTATACAATGACTTTAAACTACACCATCCTGTTGGGTTCTTTGTAAACTATTAAACTTCCAGATCTACTTCAAATTGATTAAAATAAGCATCAAATGATAGAGCAAGCATTTTTGTTGAAAACATAATTTAACTGTATTGAGATCAAGTTTAGTATTTCTTGATTATGATTAAAATTTTAGAGGCAATTTTTATTCTTAATAAGAAAAGAGAAAGCTAAACATTCAAAGTTCAAAATTTCAATCAAGTCTGAGGGGGTACATTGGACAGGGATGTGTTAGAAAAGAAAACTCAAAAATCCTTACATTCACAAGATAAAATAGAAAGCAAGTCAAACTGATTCCAGTTAATAAAGTAAGCATTTTCAATTCAAGGTAAACATCATTAGAATTAAAGGAGGATGCTATTGTAGGAAAATCAACCAAAGGCAGGAGAGATGGCTCAGTAGTTGAAAGCTACTACTGCAGAGGATCCAAACTCAGTTTCGTTCCGGCTACCTACATGAGGGTGTTCACAACCACACACAGCGCCAATTCATAACCCCTTCTGGCCTTGTGGGCAACCGCAGCCACATGGATGTACACCCTGACACACGCACACACACAATATACAGCATTAATTAAAAATGAAAACTAAATCTTAGAAAGCAAACAGATACCTGAATTTATCTGTCTCTCTTAGAATCCATTACAATTTCAGAAGAGTTTAACTCTTATAAAGATTACAATTTGGAAATTCCTAAGCAAGGGTCTGGACGACCACACTGGAGAACCCGGGGGGAATTACTTTTGTGTATCTATGACAAAATACTTAACGAAACTGTTGAAGAGAGGACTGTTTTATTTTGATTCGTGGCTGCAGAGGGTTTCGGCCCATCACAGGACAGTCAGGCATAGTGGAGTAGCTTCATCTATGGCAACAGTAGCATAATGGACAGCTGTTTACATCCTGGTATACCAGAAAGTAAAGAAGGGCAAGAATGAGGGGTTAAAATACAACCATCACAAACCCATCCCTAGTGACTGATCTATGTCATACAATTCCTCTCTCCCTCAAGCCATGCCACTAGCTGGGAAACAAGGATTATGAACACGAATCTGTGGAATACTTTTCAGGTTCAGTCTATAGCATTCCATGCCTGGCCCCCAAAACCTCATGGTCATCTCATAATGCAAAATTCATTTTTTAGTTCAATCTCTGGAATACCTTTAAATATCCAACACTGCTCCAAAGTCCAAAGACTCTTCTGAGAATAATCTTAAATATGAGCTCCCATGAAATGGAAAAGAAAGTCACCATTACAGCATATAATGCCTCATAGTAAGCATGGCCATTTCAAGGGAAAGACAAGGATGGCAGCCAGGAAAGATGGAGTCAAACAATAATCTACCCATCAATGTATTTTGATACACAGGACTTCAACCCTATAGCTCTAGATCCCACATACGTAGTTTGCGGTATCACAGTAATGTGTGCTCTAGCAGGCTTGGGCAGGCCTGTCTCTAAGGTGCTACTGCCCACAGCACAGATGCCCTCTCTCAAGCTGTGTCCACTCAGTACTGGAAGCTCTCCTCAGCAGACATGCCTTATTGCTTGCATCTTGAATGTGCTGGGCTTCCTGTTGCTGCTTATTGTTGGTATGGAGTTACATGCAAGACAGGGAGAATGGGCCAAGAAATGTAGCTGGAGATGAATCAGTACTGCAGAGAGATGATACAAAATAATGGTGGTCAAAAACAAAAACACAAAAACCAAACCAACCAACCAAACAAACAAACAAACAAAAAACCCCAAAATCAGAAGAAATCCTCAAATTTGAGGAAGGAGCCAAGCTTGGAGATTAAAAAGGTTCACTGTATGTCTGGTCGTGAGAGACCCATGTGTGCTTATATAGAAACAGACTTTCTGAATTCTAAAAATAACGAAAGCCTGTTACTTCCAGATAGAAAGTCCAAGTTTGTGACAGAGAAAAAATGATCCACCTGGTATCAGATATCTTACCTGTGACATGGCCAGCCCCATGGAAGGACAGTCTCTACAGAGACACTTAAGTGATCTTCATTTGAACAGACCAGTTATTATCTACCTGATAGAGTGAAATTACTCTTTTGTATGTGCAACAGTTATAAAGTACACTGTCTCTGTCAGTTCCAGGGGTCAAGCTGATGTCCTCAGCCATGGCAGCAGATGCCTGGACCTACTGGGTCATCTTGCCGGCAGAAAATATGCTACCTCTGTAACCTAACCAATGGAAGTAATTTAATACAGACAACAGTGACAATCATAAATCCTTGAAATGGAAGACACATTCACATCGCCATGGTGTAGGCAAATGAAGAAATAAATAGATCAATAAGAAAGACGGAAAAATCAATATTAACATACATGGGACTCTAATGAGATTAAGGCAGTATTCCTATACAGTGTGAAGAAAAGTGACAACTTAATACATTGTCCTGTTTAAAAAAAATTAACTTGATAGTCAGCCAAAAGATAATAAAATTAAGTCCTGTGTGACACCTCGTAAATTAAAACTACACGAAAGCCTTAAAAATATTTTTGCTAACTATTGCTTACTGTATAATCTAGATTACATATAAATCACAGTGATAGGAGTCATTGTTTCCTGTATAGGAAATGAAAAGATGAGAGATAAAAAGATACTATTGAGCTGTATGTGGATATGTGTGTGTGCGTGCATACACACACACACATACTCACACATACACACATACACACTCACACACACACACACACACACACACACACACACACACACACACACTGAAGATCTTTTGAGTGACAGGTGACTCCATAAAGAGAATTTACAAACAAATCCATGAATCTTAAAGATTCTAAATTAGACAAAATGAGGAAATTCATATTTTTAATATACAGAGCTTCCACCAAATTCACAAGGCAGGTACACAAATTATTTGAGAAATGTAAACTGAAGAGACAATTCATCAATAAGCAAACCAAACTGGGTGCCAAACACTTAGGCTTCCCAGTTTCTGTCCGGTCCAGATGTGCAGTAAGATGTTAAGGGGATGACGTGGAATGACTTACAGTACTGTTGTCAGTAGGTGTGTGAAAAGTGCCCCTCACAAACACTAGTAGTGGCCAGGCCAATGAGTGGGGGCCTTAACAGGCCCGGCCAACTGAAATAAAGTGCATACCATTCTAAGTTATCAATCTCACTTCCAGGAGTTTCTCTCAGCACAAGAAAAACAAAACAAAAAATAAACAGGAAACCTTTTGGATATCTATGCATCTGGATGTGGTCCATGGACTTGCACGGCATGGGAGGAAATGGAGAATGTCTTAACTAGAGCATCATAACTAGGAAGAGTGAGCTCAGATTAGGGGAAGACTGTGCTGAAGGACACTATAATCTGGCTGACCACAGTACACTGTCTTTCACTGGATTAGATTGCACATGAAGTTAAGAAAGTCTTTTAGTGAGACAATTGAGAGTACTCTCTTATGGATCACTTTACATAATGCTACCAATCTTAAACGGCCTAAATGTGACCACTGTGTGGCTATATAGGATACTATCATGATGTCCAGGGGACAGCTATGCAAATATTCAGGTCTCAAGTTGAGTGCTGTAGACAACTCTCAAATTGCTCAGTAAAGTATTAATGCTTGGTTAGCACGAGAGATAAGTAGATGGTTTTCATATTACCTTTCAGCTTCTCTGTGTGTTTAAATTTTCTTTGAAAATATTCAAGAGGAAGATATTGAAATTTTACCTTATACAAAACAAAGAGAAAGTTTTGAAATTGGTATTGCCCAATTCTAAAAGACAGTGGGAAATCGGGATGGACTTGTAGCTCTTGGTGAATTTCAGGTCCCTTCCTGGGATCATGGCCCTTGCTAAGCCTGGGAGGCTCCTGACTGCTGTTTTACCCCTGACTCTACCCTTCACACCACCTGCTTTTAATTTTCTTCCCAATGATCTGAGGTAAGATATAAGCTCCAGGCAAACAGTGTAACTGAGTCAGTCTACTTACATGAGGTTAAAGCCGATCAAGAGCCAGGCAGGTGTAGGCGACAATTTTCTAGAAGTATCAGTGTGGCCATACCTCCCAGAGAGGGTGAGAGAAGAGAAGAAGAGGAAACATGAGATATGAGATTTTATAAATTCTTTCAGTTGTGTGGTCACAAGCAACTTCTAAAGCTAATCAAGTTCACAGAAAATGTAATGGATCTGGACCCTGTGAGAAATGAGATAATTCATTTGGAAATTCACCAGGTCTTTGGGAAAATGGATACTATATATGTATATATTCACTGACACCTGGCACGTCTAAGATCATATATGCCAGATTTTAGCCTGGAGGTAATTTTTATCAAGAAGTTATAAACCTTTGAAAATAGAGGTTAATAGAAAAAGCTGAAATATCCTTAATGACCAGGTTGCTACGGCAACAATATAAGCTTAGTACTAGCATCAAATATCTGCTGCATTTAGGGGTCCTTGTCTCCCTTGATAAATTATTCTTGAGTAAAACAGAAGTGTGAGCTGACTAACTCCAAAGACTCTTCCTGTGTCTTAGAATCAATGAGTTAGGAGAATCAGGAAACCCCAGTTAGGTGCAAAGACAGAGAATGCACTGGAAAATGCCATAGCCAGTGTGAGCAAGAAGGCCAAAACTTCCTAGGGGAGACCTTACCCTTTTCTAGGAGCAGATGGGAGGTGCGGGGAGAGAAGGAGGAGAGGAGGGAGGGGGAACTGGGCTTCTCTGTGGCTTTGGAGGCTGTCCTGGAACTCACTCTTATAGACCAGGCTGGTCTCGAACTCACAGAGATCCTCCTGCCACTGCCTCCCAAGTGCTGGGATTAAAGGCATCCGCCACCACTGCCCAGCAAAAAAAAATTTTAAAGCCTAAATGGCAACTGGGGTTCTGGTGACCGTGACTTGCCATCTAAGCTAATTGGATGCTGAGGCAGACTCAGGAAAAGCTCAACTCCATCTTGGGCAATTTAGTGAAACCCTGCCTTTGTGTTGTGTTTTGTTTTTCAGCTATGTTTATAGCAGCACTTACATATGCAATGATCAACTCGCAGTCCCCAGGACTGTGGGAAAATAAGTCACTGGAGCCTTTCAATAATGAGAGGATTAATTTGCTGAATTTTGGTAGCCAACTGTACCTACAAAAAAATGCCCTGACTGGGGTGCAATGTCACTGGTGACTTAAACTTTGATAAGGAAGAAAATCTCATCAGAATATTTGCACTTGCTACATCCAAATACAAACAAGGTGGAGTCCTGATTTTTCTCTCAATTTTTGAAATGATTACTATTTTATTTTAATTATTTGTAAATGTCTGTGTTTAAGGATGTGATACACACATGTGTGCAGATGCCCATGGAGGCTAGTTGTGTCCTGTGCCATTTGAGATGGATTTTATTTTTAAGGATGATTGCTGTTAAGTGTTGCTGAATCCCCTAATCTGGGATTTAAACTTAGGTTTTCTATAAGACATCACAGAATCTTATTCCCTGAACCATCTTTCTAGTTCAGGAAGTCTAATTGTCTGGTCCTTGACTTTGTGAATATCTCTAGTCAAGTTATTTAAATATGATCTGCAGTTTTGTTGTTGGTAATGGGAATTAGCTAAGACTTAATTCCTAGATACTCTGAAAGTTTAGACAGACAAAAACTTTAACACAGTTCTTACATGAATGTTCAATAATGCTCTTACTTATTTGGGCATAGATTATCACTTGCATGTTGGCCTCTGTTCTCTGTGAGATAAGCATAACAGAAGTCACTTGACCTTACTATAGAAGTTCACTTACAGCTATTCAAGCAAAAAAATGACATAAGATTCTTGTACAGTAACACATGTCCTGAGGTGCCTTATCCCTGGGCTGAAGAAATGTGTCATGAACACAAATCCACAAGACCCTAGTTATCTGGACCAATGGGAAGTAATTGTGTTAAGTGGATATCAGTTTGGATTTTGGTTAAATTTAAGTTACAAGTCATCAGTTGGAGACAGGGAAGAGTTGGTGGGACTACAATGGCACAGAAATGTGACGGAAGGTCAAGTCATCCTCGGGTGATATTCAGCTCACTCTTTCATACAGGATGGTATAAACCTAATCTGAAGACAGCTCTTCTCATAGACAAGGCTGATAAGCGCTTATGGATAAGAGAGGTCTTCTTCATGACCTTCAGTTTGACCAGTCAGTAAGACACTGATTAATCTAGAGTTTCAATGGTACAGATCTTCAGTGGGTTTTCATGGAAATCTGTCTTTCCATCATCTTCTAATTATAATAATGGCCTCTCAACACTCTTTTGTAGATAATATTTTCCTGCAGAAGCAATGGAAGTATGAGTGTCCCGTGTCATTCTCTAGCTGAGCTTGGGATACTGGGCTGCACATACACAACAGGTACATCCGTAGCACAGTCCTTACACCTGAGACTCAGGGACCACCACAGAAGAGGGAGTGGAAAGAGTCTAATACCATGAGGACCAGGCTGTCTGTTGTTTGATGCTGTGTGTTCTGGGACTGAGATGTGGCTGCCATGAGCTGCCTACACCTTCACATACTATATCAGTCAACATGCCAACACGAGTGAAGGAAAATGCCACAAGACCTGACCCCCAGGTAAAGAGTTCTGGACAGTACTGGCTGCTGAAGAAAGATGAACACATGGTTTTGGATCATTTTGTTTCATTTGTCTTTTCAGGGACCACAATCCTTACTGCTCAGCCCTAAACACCTGCGCTGAGAGGCAGCGTTGAGGGGGGAGTATGGAGAGCCACAGGAGAGAGGAGAAATGATGTACATTCAGTGTGCTCACATGTGAGATGCTCAAACTAATGGAAAAAAAAGATTGGATCACACACCTTCATACCCACATCCTCTTGACAAGCTGTGTATAGCTCGCTTTGAACCATACAGCTGTGGACAATATTCTAGGGTGCCAGGGAGAAGCAGGCTGGAAAAAACCTGGATCCCTCCGTAACCCTGAAGTCCAGATTCACATCTTTTTAAAAAATATTAAACTGATTTTTTGATTTAAGTTAGAAACAAGCTTGTTTCACATGTCAATCCCAGCTCCTTCTCCCTCCCCTCCTCCTCTGCCCTCCTCACCAGGTCCCACAGTTCCCCATCCAATCTCCACTCCGATCCCCAGGGAGGGTGAGGCCCTCCAAGGTGGATCTCCAGTGACTGTGATTTCATGCAGAGCAGGGCCTAGGCCCTCCCACAAGAGTCCCAGATGAGAGAGCCTCCCATATTGTGGCATGGTCACTCAAAGTCTGTTTTTATGCCAGGGATAAATATTACCCAAGGCCCCATAGATTACCTAGGCCTCCTCACTGACACCCACATTCAGGGGATCTGGGTCAGTCCCATGTTGTCCACACAGCCATCAGTCTGGGGTCCGGGAGCTCCCCCTTGCTTAGGCCAACTGTTTCTGTGGGTTAAACCAGCCCACTCTTAACTCCTTTGCCCATCAGTTCTCCCTTTCTGACATTGGATTCCAGGAGTTCAGTTCAGTGTTTAGCTGTGGGTATCTGCCTCTGCTTTCATCAGTCTCTGGATGAAGGTTTCTGTTTCCAAGACTTACTGGCAGTGGAACTGTATGCTGGCACTCCCCTGATTCATGTCTACAATCCATATATGAATGAGTACATACCATGTTTCTCTTTTTGTGACTGGGTTACCTCACTCAGGATGGTTTCTTCTAGTGCCGATCATTAGCCTGCAAATTTCAAGATTCCATTGTTTTTTTCTGCTGAATAGTACTCCATTGTGTAAATGTACCACATTTTCTCTATCCACTCTTCAGTTGTGGGGCATTTAGGTTGCTTCCAGGTTCTGGCTATTAAAAATAATGCTGCTATGAACAGAGTGGAACAGATGTCCTTGTTGTATGAATGTGCATTTTTGGGTGTATGCCTAAGAGTGGAATTGCTGGGTCTTGTGGTAGATTGATGCCCATTTTCGTGAGAAGTTTCCATACTGATTTCCAAAGTGGCTGTGTGAGGTGGCACTTCCACCAGCAGTGTAGGAGTGTTTCCCTTTCTCCACATCCTCTCCAGCATAAACTGTCCTTGGAGTTTTTGATTTTAGCCATTCTGACAGGAGTGAGATGGTATCTGAGAGTTGTTTTGATTTGCATTTCCCGGATGGCTAAGGATGTTGACCACTTTCTTAAGTGTCTCTCAGCCATTTTAGACTCCTCTTCTACATGTCAGCCTCCAGTTATGCCAGCGCCATTTGTTGAAGATGCTTTATTTTTTCCATTGTATAATTTTAGCTTCTTTGTCAAAGATCAGGTGTTCATACGTGTTTGGTTTAATTTAGATTGGCACCTTTAACCTAGCTGCACACGTGGGACCTATTTCACAAAGAATCAACGCCTCCTTCCTCTCTGCAACTGTATCTTTTACACTGCTGCTCTGTCCTACTGGGCAAAGGGAAGGTTTCTAATGCAAGCGGCCAGTATGTGCTGATTTCCTCTATGGGTGACATAAAAGCACTTCTATGTTCTCTGACTCCTGAAAAATTAGGAAGGAGGTTCCTGTGGGAAGCCCGTTTTAGCTACTGTACATCTCCCCTCTGTAACTGCAAAACGATCCGCCCCACATCGAGCAGTGCTTTCAAATGCATTTCTAACATGATGGACGTGGCACATGTGTGGGTGACATTAAGTGGTTGGTATTGCTTGCATCTCAGCAGCCAGGAATAGTTCCGTGTGAGCTTGATAAATTAGGGAAATTGGCAAGGAAAGCCAGAAGAACACCAATAGGGCAAGACGTGAGAGTCAGAGCCCAGATACAAACAGCTGGCGTTGAAGAGGAGAGGGCCTGCCTGCATCAGCACGACCGCATCAGGAAGTTCAGAGTTACTGCAGAATTAGGGCTGGAGACCAGTCAGCACAGCCAGGCTATTATTTAAGGGCCTATGATGCTTATAGATTAAGAGGACTATGACATTTCGGTTCCAGCACATCGTGTTTCTTCTCTTCTGGCAATGCTGAAGACCTTATTAAGTAAGGTGTCTAGTTTTATTCTCAACACTTTAAGAGGAAGGTGGCAAAGCGGGAGTGAGTCCAACTTGGAGCAACAGAAATGATAAAAGAGTGGGTAAGCAAAGGCTGTGAGGGAAGATTAATATACAGGATTGTTTAGCCTGAAGAAGAAAGAAGGCTGAAGGGTGACTTACAGTCTGTTTGAAAATATGCCTGGCTGTTATAATGAGCATGCTGAGTAGCCGTTCCATGTGGACTTAATGAGAATAAGGGAGCAAATTTATCCAGTGGTTTTGGATTAGTATCATATCAAGAAATATTGGAGATGGAGGTTCTTTTACATAGGGAACCGGCACAATTATTTTTCTTCAAGATGGAGAGAAGTCTGTGGAGCAGTGGGCATTCAGTTGACTTAGAGGCAGAGAATAATCCAAGCCAAAACAGACAGGGTGAATTACTTAGCCACCATCACTTAAGGGGTGAACATGTTTCATAAGATACAATGGCCATGTGTGTAGAGCTTCTGCTATGGGATGAGGGGGGATTCTTTATGGCCATTAACTAATTATCTTGGATTTGTATATTAAACCCATTTTTCAGCTGTGATTTAGAACACATAGAATAGTTAGAATTTTATTTAGCCTACACCCGCTCGTTGGCCCTGTTGAGGTAAGAAACTCGGTCCCCATTGTTACCAAATAATAATGCTTTTTATCCTCAGGCCAAGACTGGTCTAGTACAAAAGGTCTTAAAATGTCATTCACCCATTCCTAGGTGCAGCTGAGACACTTTCAGTTTGCAAGGTCAAATTTTTAAAAATGCAATTATATTTCCTAATTCTTCTGCACTTATTTTTGGGCCAAAGATGAAAAAGTGATGGAGAACGAAAGATTTAATGGTCTGTCAGGAATGAAAGTTAAGACACCAAACCCTAATAATGCTCCTTGTATTTTCATGTATAGGGTATTACTGGAACAAAAACAAAATGCTTAGTTCACTCTAAAATATTGATGCAGTTGGTGCAAATTATTAATTTAATTACATCAGTCCTTTTTTGTTGTGCTATCTTTTAGAATGATGTATGACAAAAAATGTCACATCCTATGTGCTGGTGTGTTGACTGCCTCGTGAAGATGTACTCAGACGGTTGAGTTGTGGGCAGGACCCATGTCATTTTCTCTGGAATGTCATCTTTGTTTAAGAGAATGATTGGCAGACAAATCTGGTTGTTCACACTTGGATATTTGGCAGATGTTCTGTCAGAAATGAATGTGGTAAACCTGTCACTCCAGGGAATAATATAGAGTCGCTGGCAGTCAATACCACCTGGGCTTTCAAGGAAAAGTTAGAATTAGGATAGATTCCCAGCCTCACTTTTCTATTGAGGTAAGTAAAGATATTCTTGAGTGTTTCTATTTTTAAAGTAACAAGATCTGTCAGTACATAGAAAGTTGGTACTAGTCAATATGTCAACATTTTACAATTCACCAATGTGTGCATAAAAAGGTATACATTGAAGAAAAGATATATTCAAATAATGTCATGCCAAATTTTCAATATAGTAAAATATAAAGAAGTCTCCAAAAGGCTTTGGACTCTACATTAAAACTAAAATTTAAACACTAATGTAGCATTGCAATATGATATCAAAGAATTGTATCCATAGTTAATTATTAAGATAACACTGCATTTCCAAACTGCCTCTACACACTATGCAAAAAATTAATCACAAAAGTGGATATCCCACTTTCTCAAACCCTTATTCGTGTTTGGGAAAATATCTTTAGTTCCTTCTGACATCATATCATAGGTTTATTACTATAATTTTAGAGAAACTGATACTTTAGAAATATATGATTTTTGACCAGGTGGTGGTGGCACACACCTTTAATCCCAGCACTTGGGAGGCAGGGCAGAGGCAGGAAGATCTCTGGGTTCAGGACCAGGTTGGTCTACAGAGCAAGTTCCAGGACAGCTAGGGCTACACAGAGAAACCATCCTTTGAAAAAAACAAAGGCAAAAATAAAACAAAATAATCCAATAAACAAGCAAACAAAAGAAATGTATGATTTCATTTCCAACACAGGGAATTTTAACCTGCTTAGCTTCCTTTAAAATGTTATTTCAATTCCTTCTTTTCCTTTTTCCAATGTAAAAGGAGTCTGAAAACAAAGAATTGTGTTTTGTGAGTCAGAGTTTCTCTGAGTAGCAGCCCTGGCTGTCCCAGAACTCACAGAAATCTGCCTGCCTCTGTCTCTGGAGTAAATATTGTGTGTGAGATAGAGTGTGTGTGTGTGTGTGTGTGTGTGTGTGTGTGAGAGAGAGAGAGAGAGAGAGAGAGAGTGTGTGTGTGTATGTGTATGTGTGTCTGTGTCTGTGTGTCTGTTTGTCTGTGTGTGTGTGTGAGTATGTGTGTGTGTGTGCGCCTGTGTCTGTGTGTCTGTCTGTGTGTTTGTGTGTCTGTCTGTCTGTGTGTCTGTGTGATGCATATATTACATTTGTACTTCTTTGTGTGAGCACATGTCAAGATCCGGGGTTGTCTTCAGATCTCTTCTTCTATCCTCATCCTTCACGTTATTATTTGAGGTGAGGTCTCTCCTTGAGCTTAAAGCTCACAGATTTTCCTATGTTTATTGCGTGGGAATCAAGATTCACTAGACTCGATACAGGTTACAAGAAGTTTATTCAGAGAGATTACACATGCATAAGAGGCAGATGCCAGTCACAGGTTCCAGCTCCAAAGATCCGCCCAGGCTGTTCCCTGTGACCCAATCAGCGGCAAGAGAGCGCTCACAGTCTGTGACCCATATCTGGTCCTGTCCTCTTCATGCCCTGACCTGTGACCACGCCCAAACGTGCTACAGGCATGGGCGGGGTGTATGTCTCATTACATATGTCTGCTGACCATCAAGTCAAATGATTGTCCTGCTTCTACTCAGCAGGGCTGATTAGAGATAAATATGTATGCCACAACCAGTTTTTGTGCACTTGGAAGGGATCCAAACTCAGATAGTCAAGCCAAATCAGCAAGAGCTTTCCCCACCAAGATGTCTCCTGTTCTTAAACAGCTTTTTGTTGTTGCTGAGCTGAATTCTCCTAGGAAGAACTCAAACAGTAGTAAGAGGGAAGTTAAGTGGTTTGATAATACTTTCATCCAAACTTTATTTCTTTGATAATAGGTGACATCTGTCTGCACTCAGGCTTTTAGATGAAACGTAGTTGATCTCATCAGGTGAGCGGAGTTAGAGAGTGGCTAGAAGGAAGAATGTGAGCTAAGTAACTTTCTAGATGCTCTACTCACCCATGATACCCAACTGACTGCTGCCAGTTTTCTTTGACAGTATCAGATACGAGTTGCCGAGCTTGTAAAATATACATTACAGAGGATTGTCTGGGTGCACCCCCCTAAGAGATCATGTGTTAGAAGATTCATTAGTCCCCACTGTGATGGTGACTACAGGTAACAGGGCCTTCAAGAGCTGCTGCTTACTGAGAAACCCCAGGCTATTTAAAGGAAACACCTGTGCATACAGCTCAGTGGTAGAGCACTTGTCTAACATATGTGACTTCTAAGTACCTCAAAACCAATTGAGAAACAAATAAATAGAAAACATACCTCATGAGGTATAAAGAGAAGCTTTTTCCTTGAGAGTAGCCTTCCCGCCAGCCTGGTTCTAGAGCCACATGAGTCCCAAATAAACAGACAGGAGTCTATATTAATTATGAAGCTGTTGGCCTTGCTTGTTTCTTACTGGCTAGCTCTGACTTAAGTAATTACCCCATAATTGTTAATCTAAGTATTTCTCTTACCAGAGAATAGTTCCGGGCTTCCTACCCCATGGTGTTACATCTTGACTCTCATGTGTTTCTCCTTCCCAGAGTGCTCCTGGACTCCTAGTCCCACCTATCTAGATTCCTATTGGCCCAACAGTGCTTTATTGACATAAGACTTCCCCAACAATGAGGTGATGGGGAAGGCCTATGTATATGTCAATAAAGCACTGTTGGCCAATAGGGAAACAAGATGGGTGGGACTAGGAGTCAAGGAGGACTCTGGGTAGGAGAAACACAGGGAGTCACGATGTAGCTGCAATAGGGGTAAGAAGCCCGGACCCTTTTTCTCCGGTAAGAGAAATACTTAGATTGGCAGTTTTGGGGTAAATACTTAAATCAGAGATAGCCAGTAAGAAACAAGCAAGGCCAACAGCTTCTTGTGTGTTATTTGGGGATTACAATGCGGCAGAGCCCAGGCGACTGGTGGGGAAAAACCAAAGTGGCTGGCAAGGAAAAGGCTTCACTCAACAATGAGGGGATATCCTTGGGGATGAATAGCAGTTCTCAGGACACCTGTGAGTTAGTTCTAGGAGAGACTCGCATTAGAAGGGCAAGGCTGGCCACTCTTCAGCCTTGTCACCATCCTGTCTGGCAATGCGATTTCTTCCCTTGGGAGTTCTCCGGTCATTGTGGTATCACTGCCACCAGAAGACATTGCCATGCGTTTGAATACACAGATTTGAGGGCTATATAAACTCTTTTTAGATGTACCAAGTCTCAGGCATTCTGTTTTAGGAATAGAATATTAACAAATAGAAGAAATTGGTACCAAGGGATGGAGTCATCATCGCCGCTATTCCTGCACATCTTGTGACAGTGTCTGGAGAGGGGACACCTAAAGAGGTTTAGAATTGTGTCTTTTGTGAGTAACAGGAGAATCTGGTGACAAGCAGTCCAGGAAACTAGTCTCTGATGGAAATGATCTGATTGTGTATGGGAGAAAAGTCTGTCCTTTTACACAATTGCAAGGAACCCGAATGCACTGTGCCCATGACCTCAGATTTTATGGAAGATTGAACTAGAAAGTGATGAACTAGTTTATCTGACAGATGACATTTCTAAACAAGATATAGATGTAGCTGGCTTGGTGCTTCTGATTGATTTCAAGAGCAAAAGAAAATGTAGTAGAAACATTTGGAAAATCTGTAGTGGAAGAAAATGTGCCGAGGGAGAACCACGCTGCAAATGAGAAGGTTTAGCAACAAGATGGTAGGCGTCAAAGCAACCAGAAAAAAAGCCCTTATGACCCACTCTGAGATCTTCCAACCTCCCGAGGCCTAGTTTCTAGAACAGTTTTAGGTGGTGATCACAGGTGTTTTATCCAGGGTACCTGGGGCAGGGAAGCCCTATAATGCTGTCCTCATTTTCTTTTTTTTTCCTGCCACATTTTCACTTTTATTACATCTATAATAAAAAGTGCCGTTTTAGTAAATGTTTCTGCTCATTGCGTGGGTGTTTTGTTTTTGCCGCATCTCCCCAGTAGCTCTGAGAGCCCCAGCACAAAGGTGTGATGCCCGGGTTACTCAGGCCGTGCTCAGAATCTGGGCGCTGCATGCAAACGTTACCTAATGGATTGGTCACTTCCCGACACCCACCCTTATCAGGGGGCATGGGAGGCTACAGCTCTGTGACGTATTGCCATTTTTAATAGAACTGTAGCTTTAGGGAACAGGGCATGCCATTGTAGTCTATTTGCACAGAGCATGTCCTTAACTGCGTTTCAGTAGAGTAGCAGGTTTCATCTTCAAACCTTATTAGTTGTTTTTAAAATTCGTCAGTAGTCACATCACAAATAGGAAGTTTTAGCCTTGACAGAAAAAAAAGAGTTACTTCCCAAATATCCTGGGCACCTTCTTCATAGCAAAGACAGGCTACACCTCAGCTTGACTCTTTTTTTTCCCCCGAGACAGGGTTTCTCTGTGGCTTCGGAGGCTGTCCTGGAACTAGCTCACGCAAACCAGGCTGGTTTTGAACTCACAGAGATCTGCCTGCTTTTGCCTCCTGAGTGCTGGGATTAAAGGTATGTGCTATCACTGTCAGGCAAGTTTTTTCTTAATAGTAACTTAATATACACTTTGGTATATATTGTTACCTGATACAGGAATTCTTCCATAGTAACCTCTGTTATTTTCCATTTACAAACTATGCATAAGTGTATTGCTATGGTGCGATCCTAATACTCATTAGATTATAAAACTATTGTAATTATTCCAACTCCTTTAAACTTAATATATTACAATGTATAAGTTACAATGTTAAGATACTTTTTATTTTTATATTAATTTTTAGTGACTATTTGGGGGTTTCACATCATGCACCCCAATTCTGTTCACCTCCCAGTCCCTCCATGGTTCCCACTCATGGTGAAATCTGCCAGTGCTGCAGTCATGATCTGAGCGGATGGTATGCGCCTGGTACTAGGGGCAGACGCGTGGTCTTGGTTCTGTGTGTGCGGAGTGCAAACTTCACTGACACTGGCTGAGAGGAGAAAGACCTTGAGGTAAAAAGGGAGGTCGTGAGGAGGAGAAAGGAGGTCAGCAGAGATGGAAGGGGCGTAAGAGAAAGCAATAGAGGGGGTGGATGAATGTGATCTAAGTATATAATACACATACGTGCAAATGTCATATTGAAATGCATCATTTATAGTTAATATACGCTCATAGAAATAAGACAAAAGACCCAGGCATGGAGACACAAACCTTTAATTCCAGTGATTGGTAGGCAGAGGCAAGTGAATCACTCTGATTTCCAGGTCAGCCATGGCTACCCAGTGAGATCTTGTCTCAGAAAAAAAGAATATGAAGTCCTGGTGGCTCCCATAACAATTTTATTTTTACTCATTTTAAATTTTATTGTATTTCAAATTACTTGTGTGTCTAAGCACACAAATGAAGGTTCCTATGGAACAGACTTCTCTTGGAGCAGGAGTTACACATGGTTGAAGGCTGGAAATTAAGATCAGATCCTCAGCAAGAGTAGCAAGCATGCTTAACTACCAGGCTTGTCACAGGCTCCAAGCTCCCCCAGAGAGATCCACAGGGTGCTATAGTTAAGGAGCTATAGGACTAAGGCTACAAAGCAGCCCCAAGAAGGCAATGCCCCACCACGTGTACAATCCATAGGAAGAAGCTGCAGGAAGCATCATATAGTCAAAGATAAGGATAGCCACAGGGACGGGAAGGCTAAGTCCTGTGCCTGTGTCCACTTGAATCATGGCTGAAGCTGTTGTAGGCATGGATCGTGGATCAGGGTACATGTCGAAGTTCCAGATTCCCGTGACTCAAAACAAGCGATTGAACCAGGGCATGAGGATAGTGGCTAATTTAGAAAGAGAACATGTACAAGGAAGAAAGAGGGTCTGAGAGTTACAAAATGTCATAAGTTCAGCAGTCCAGGGACACAGCAGTTGGCAGCCTTTGTGTGTTATCTACAAAGCGCTTGCCTTCTATGTGAGCTCTTCCCCTTGTATATAAAACCTATGTTGGGGGGAGGGGCTCATTGTCCTCTCTATCATTGGTTTCTTTCTTTGCAAATCTTGATGGATTTCTTCCTGTCCTCGTACCACAGTTCCATGGATGTCCTGGGCAGCAGGCCCACTTCAGACACCCAGGATCAACACCCAGAACATTGCTGAGAAGAAGAGAATGAGCAAGGGAGTTAATATCTGACAGGCTGGGCTTTATTTGGATGTGCATTGGGCCTGTTACTATTATCTATTTCCCTAGTCCTTCCTTTCAGAGTGGGAAGTACACAATGTGGCTTTTGCATCAGTATGTATCGGAAGTTAACAACATGTCTTGATTTTGTAAGTTCGCAGCTAGGAGTATCATAGACGAGACTTCGGAATTTTGAAGTAATGATGTGTTGTATGCTGTATGAAGAAAACGTTCAGGAGCCAAACATAAAATCAAATGGTTTCCACTTAAAGTATTTTTCTCCCTAAAACTCATATTATAGGTTAATCTTCAGTGTGTCCCATGAAGAATATGGACAGTAAATCCAACTTTGGTATTTAGAGGTAGGAGAACTGAGTAGGACTAAGTAAGGTTGTCAGCCTGGAGACCACATGGTCTAAAGCTGATGGGTTTGTAGGAAAGTAGCCAACCAGAGGGAAAGCACAGGCTTCGTTTGTGTCTCACTTTGTGAAAGCTTGCGCTTCCTTCGGGCTTCACAGCAAGAACTGCATTGCGACAGGAGACCCCTTGACCTTGGACCAGAGCCCTGTGCTCAAATATAGCTCTTTTAAAAAAATGTACACAGCTGTGCTGTTGTGCTGTCAGCAGCAGAAGATGAACTAAGCCATGTAGCAGTCTTTATTACAACCCATGTTCCAAAAAGGAGCATTCGTGACAGATCCAAGCAACTCCAGCAGTGTCAGGATGGCACACATTCCAACCACAAGCATAACTAACATAGCCAAGCAACTTTTGCAAGTCAAGAAGGTCAGTTTCCCTAGACCTGGGTTACATAACTTGATATATATATATATATATATATATATATATCTGTGTGGCCCATATATATATATATAATATATAATATAATATATATATATATGGGCCACACAGTGTCCCTGCTTCCTTGATGCCAAGGTTTCTACATTCTTTTTCCTTTTGCAAATATAGAAATGGACGGAAATAAGATAAACCCAATCGACTGAATAAGAAGTAATTAAAAACATTTGTGGATAAAATTTGGACTCTGAGGTTTGGTAGAAAGCTTCTAATTTTCAGGTTATTTGGTAAAAAACATCCTGCCAATTATTTTCCATTATTTGATGATAATGAATGTGGTAGAATAGGTTTCCCTGGAAACAGGCTCTGAAATGGAGTGTTACATGCAGATATTTTATTTACAAGGAACAGCGAAGATGGCAGGGTTAGGCAGAAGGAAGAATGATAATAAGCCAATAGTATGGGAATCTCCGGAGCCAGAGTGGACTTTAAGGATGGATGGTCAAGTCATTGAGTCCTGAATGCATCAGTAACTAAATACAGGCTGCTTCCAGAGTAGAGAATCTATGCTTTTAGAGGAAAGAGGACTGCCCTGTGTGTGTCAAAAAGCATTCCTGACACATGGGGGACCAAGTGTCATAGCTCTGAAGGATGATGACTTGTGTGATCTACTCCAGTAGTCACTCTGTACCCTCTCATTTACTCACAAAGGAATTAACTAAGCTAGCTCTGATACCTAAACCTCCGTTTTTCTACTTAATATATGTGTTGTCTGATGTAATAGGAAGGATAACTGAAACTACAAAATGTATTACAAAGTTTTCTCTCATGAAAAGACTTAAAAAGAAGAGAGTCTCATCTTGGCTCAGAGTTTTGGAGGCTTCCATCTATCATAACTTGGTCCTGCTGCTGTAAGCCTGGTTTGGGACAAGGTATGGGTAGAAGAACGAGTCTACCCATCTCATATTAGCTGGGGTTGAACAGAGAGGGAGAGAGGGAAGGAAAGGGAAAGGGAAGAAAGGAAATGATGGAGGGAGGGAGGGAGAGAAGAGGTAGACAGACAGACAGATACATACACACACATACACACACACAGAGACAGAGAGAGGTTCAGAGAGAGAGACAAAGAGAGAGAGAGAGAAGAGCAAAATATACCCTTTAAGGGCATGACCTCAGGAACCTGCTTCCTGTACCTACACAACTAGACCCAAACTTCAAAATCTTTAATCTCCTCTTATTAGGATTTGAATACCCCAAAGAGTTAATTGTGTTTTAGCCCCCATGATCTAATCACTACCTACTGAACACCATTGCATTAGAGACCAAGCCTTTAAAACATGAGCCTTTGAAACATATGCCAGTCACTTAGATGGCAGTCTGAAATCTGCATAGTAGTCATGCTCTCAGCAAGCCCCAGGGTGTTGTAACCTAGATCCATCTTCAGAAGAGACTTACTGAGTTTGTATTGCTCTGGAGGATCAGAGAACCCCACATATTCCCTTGTTAGAACCTGCCTATTCACGTGTCAGTCTTAGATCCAATGGATATTTTACTGCACTGAATGACCTTGAAAGGCAAAATGAGCCATCAGAGCATTGAGTTGAACTCACTAGATTCTCTTTATTCTACAGAATGGGTGAAGCATAGGGGGAAATCAAGAGTGCTTTATTCAAGAGCTGGAATGTCCAAGAACCTGCCAGATCCTGCCAGGGACATGTCCAGCTCTACATGAATTCAGGTAGGTACAATGACAACAAGGACTAAACCCAACTGAAAAGCTCTTACCTTGCAAAGGAAACAACTAAGAGAGTGAAGTGTAACCTGTGGATTAGGAAAGAAGCATTTGTTAGTTTCTTCCAACAGAGTTAATATCTAGAATATTCAAAGAACTCAAAATACCTAATGAAAATAACAACAGCTAAAACCCAAATATAGTGGCTTGACAGAAAACTGGCCGACTGAGGCTCCAGTGTTTGAACAGTTGGTCCCCAGTTGATGGTTATTTTTTTGAGAGGTTATATAACTGTAAGGAGGTGCCTTGCTAGAAGTAGGTCTATTCTGGGGATGGACTTCGAATGTTTGTAGAATACTGTACTTCCTGCTCTGTCTGTTTCCCGTGTGTGGGAAAAACATGATGAGCCTGCTTCCTCCTATTGAAACCTTGCCTTCCTCACCGTATTGGACTATCACTCTTGGGACTCCAACCTAATGTAAACCAAGTCTCTCTCTCCTAAGCTGCGTTAGCGCATGGTATTTTATCAGAAGAGCAGAAAGACGGGGGAAAATAGCCCCTTACACTGGAAGGACTACTAGTAGTACTATAACATACTAGGGAAGACAATATGGGATGCATAGTCAAAGTTCGCTAGAGGAATAGAACTTACAGAATGAATCAATCATATATATATATGTATATGTATATGTTATATATATATTTATTAGAATTTTTACACACTGTGCTAGCTAGTCCAATGGCTATCAACAGAAAGTCCAAGGATATAGTAGTTGCTCAGTCCATGTGACTGGATGACTCAACTGGTCTTTAGTGTATTCCAGAATCCCTAAGAATTAGTTTCTAATGCCAGTGAGGGAATAGACTGGCCAGAAAAAGCAATCAGGCAAAGGGAAAGAAAGTTTCCTTCTTCCATGTCCTTTATATAGGCTGCCACAGTGTGGCCCAGTTTGAAGGTGTATATTTTCACTGCAAAGTGTTGGATTAAAGTGGTCTTCCCACTTCAAATAATTTAATTAAGAAAATAATCCCACAGAGGTGTACCCAGCTGCTTGAGTTTTAGTTAATTCCAGCTACAGTCATGTTGACAACCAAGAATAGCCATCACATAGAAGTTCTCAAAATAAAACACAAATTTAGATATATATCCTCTACATATTCTATTCCCGAGTATGTATCCAAATGAACTGAAGTCGGCCCACAAAAGAAATACCTACACACTTTTTTTATTGAAGAAATATTTACAATAGCGAATAATTGAATCAACCTAGATGCTCATAAATAGATAAATGAATAGAAAAAAGTGTCTATATATACATAATTGAATATTATTGAGCCATGAGAAAAACAAAACTCTGTCATTTACAGCCAAATAAAGGTAATTAGGCTATTATGTTAAATGAAATAAGCTAGACACAGAAATAAGAATACCCCATGATCTCTCTCATGTGGAAAGCAAATCAATCAACTTCCAAGTAGAATAATGTTTACCAGGGGCAGCCAATGATATGAAGGATGAAGGTTGTGAAGGTAAACAAACAAGCAAACAGAGAGTTGTATAAGATCAGTGTTTAGTACATGGAAGTATCTGATTGTCTCATTAATAAAATGTAATTTTATGCAGTAATGAAAGCTATAATATAGTAAAAACAAATAAATAAATATGTTATTTGAGAATTCTCTGCTGGATAACAGTATCTGAAATTGAAGCAAAAGCCATCATAGATTGAAAGATGCTAAATGGAGGTTAGTTCTATTTTTTGAGATAGCTAATAGTCATGTTCCAGCTTCATACATACCTACTAAATTCTACAAAGTCATTAACAATGGAAAATTAAATTTCACAAATGAGTCACTTTGTCTATTTCCCTGGGATCATTTAGGCCTCTGCTATGGATAAGAAGCCCTTTTGGTTGCGATGCAGAACATTTGTGAGGTTCACATTGAGGGAGACTTTGAAGCTGCAGTTCAGCCTCCTCTAGTACACTTTTAGGGTAGGAACAAACATTCACTAAATGTCTCCAAGGACATGCTATTCAAATGCACTCCTTCTTATCCATACCACATTTCTGCTAGGTTATTTGCTATGGCCATTCTGTAAGTGGCAAAACTGGAATTCATAGAGATCTGGAGTCATGCCCAGGTCACACAGCCAGTAAATAGGTAAGTGGTAGTTAACACCGAAGTCTGCTTGAGTTGGTTCTCAAACCTACCCTCAAGCATGGAAGCACAGAACTTGGACCTTGTGTGTGTGTGTGTGTGTCTGTGTGTGTGTGTGTGTGTCTGTGTGCCTGTGTGCCTCTCTATCCCTGTAGGTGTGTGTGTGTGTGCCCCTGTGGCTCTGTGTGAGTCCATGTGTGTATGTGTCTGTGTGTCTCTCTGTGTGTGTCTCTTTCTGTGTGTGTGTGTCTGTATACGTCTGTCATTGTGTGTGTGTTTAAACTGGCAATGGATGCTGTTGTGCCTCATGTGAACAAAGAACTTTATAGGTTCTACCACTTGACTCCTGCCATCTTATTGGTTGCTTTCTTAGGGTCATTTAAGGGTGTTGGGAAACCTACAATATTTTAAACTCACATACAAATAAATACACAACTCCAAATGCCCCTCAAACTGTCTCATCTAAACCTCACTGGTAAGTGAGGGAAAATGTGAAAATTTCCTAGACTATGAGTGATTTTAGTGTCCTGGAAGCCCCAGAGATTTATGGATGACACACATTTTGAAGCACTTTGGGAGCAAGGGAATTCAAGGGAGAAATTCACAAATTCTGTCTGGGATTTTATATTACATCATTAGTTTTGTGTGCATGTAGGCAGCATGTTTATTTATATATGAATATGTGTATACCTGTATACGTGTGTGTGTGTGTGTGTGTGTGTGTGTGTGTGTGTGTGTGTAGGTCTGAAGACAACTTGTGGGGGTTATTTCCATCTTTCCAATATTTGGGTCTCAGGGATCAGACTGTTATCAGACTTGGCAACAAGAGTCTCTGCCCACTGAGCCATTCTGCCAGCAGTTGCTCAAACTTCCTGCATAGTATTTATCTAACTTGTTTGTCCTTCTAGCAAACACATTGCTCGGTTGTGTATATTTCTGCCTCATGTCTGTGTGATGACCTTAAGTCTGTACTTATTGCTGTGTTTTATAAAATGTTGAATTAGATTATGTCGGTAAAGCGGTGTCACATGTGTACATACACAACGTATATCCCACAAACAGAATAGCATGTGCTCTGTGCACGTGCAGTGGAAGAACTCTCTGAGTCTGAGGCCCTCTGCGCCTGCTCTGCCCTTTTTTTAATCATGGCTACTGGTGATATTTCTTAGGAGGGAAACAGCCTGTTGGGATTTGCTCCCCGCCACCCCTTTTCTTCCTTCTGCAAGTTCAGGCAAGTGACTGGTAATCTCAGGGTTTATAAAGAGAGGAGCACAGGTTTGTTGATTGATAGGATAAAGGTGAGAAAATCTAAAAATAAAAGGTAAATTAGGAAACACTGAACAACTTGAAAATCCCAAAGTACGTATACATTGTTAGGTGGAAAGAAAAATATTGAAAGAGAAGCAGTTAGGGGAAAATTGTATTAATCTGTTTTAGTCATTTCAGAAAGTAATTTGGGACAGAACACAAATGGAAGTGTCAGGAAGGGTCAACTACCGGTTAGGGAGCACAGGAGATGTGGAGAGCAGGTGCACTGTGGATTCGGAGTCTTGGACTTGTGTAAGAATGGCTGCCACGGAAAGGAAGCAGGCAGACGAGACTGCTTCTGAAGGGGACTCAGAGGGGATTAACACACTACAGTGCTAGAAGTTTCAGTCGCCTCACACAGAGGAGAAAGCAGCAAGATAGACACATCATCATTCATGTTTGGAGGAGACAGCAGGAGACACTGAGAGAGTAGGTGGTAAGAATACAGGAGCAAGGGCATTGGTGGCGCACGCCTTTAACCCCAGCACTCGGGAAGCAGAGGCAGCCAGATCTCTGTGAGTTCAAGACCAGCCTGGTCTACAGAGTAAGTTCCAGGACAGCCTCCAAAACAATACAGAGAAACCCTGTCTCGAAAAACCAAAAAAAAAAAAAAAATACAGGAGCAATTGGTGCAGCCACTCTTTTTAAGAAAGGACAAAGCAAGGCACAATTAGTGTCTGAAGTGACCCAGTAAGGAGGGTATGTAAGCAAAGTTACAGGATAAAAGAGCTAAAGACTCCAGGGAAAGCTTAGCCAGAGAGGGGGAGGGAGGGAGGGAGAGAGAGACAGAGAGAGAGACAGAGAGAGATACAGACAGAGACAGAGAGAGAGACAGACACAGAGAGAGACAGACAGAGAGAGAGACAGGAGTAAGTTCCAGGACAGCCTCCAAAACAATACAGAGAAACCCTGTCTCGAAAAACCAAAAAAAAAAAAAATACAGGAGCAATTGGTGCAGCCACTCTTTTTAAGAAAGGACAAAGCAAGGCACAATTAGTGTCTGAAGTGACCCAGTAAGGAGGGTATGTAAGCAAAGTTACAGGATAAAAGAGCTAAAGACTCCAGGGAAAGATTAGCCAAAGAGAGGGGGGGGAGGGAGGGAGGGAGGGAGGGAGGGAGGGAGAGACAGAGAGAGAGACAGAGAGAGAGACAGACAGAGACAGAGAGAGACAGAGAGAGAGACAGAGAGAGAGAGACAGAGAGAGAGAGACAGAGAGAGAGAGACAGAGAGAGAGAGACAGAGAGAGAGACAGAGAGAGAGACAGAGAGAGAGACAGAGAGAGAGAGAGAGAGAGAGAGAGAGAGAGAGAGAGAGAGAGAGAGAGAGAGAGAGAGAGAGAGAGGACACCCCGGGGACCAGAAAGGAAAGTGGGGATTTTACATAGGAGATCAAACGCTGGGCTTGTCTTTCTTTAGGGCCTGTAAGAATGTGTCCCATTAGAACCAAGGGGGAGGAATATTACACGTGGCACTGAGGAGAAGACTAAAGGCTGTAAAACACTCCCAAGAACAAGTTCTGACAAGCTGCAGAGAGCTCA